TTTCCCTTCTTTGGGATAAATAACACACAGTGGCGACTCTTCTGTCATAGCCGGCGCCGATTTTCGCAGTAGCGACACCTAGCTCCGGTCGTCTTCTCCGGCGAGCAGGCCGGAGCTCAGGCGACTCAACCTTCACCAAACTTAACAAAATGCACATCAAAATAAAGTTGAGCTTACATAGATCTCAAATCCATAGTCCATTCAGTTTAAACATGGCTAAATAAATATAATCGAACGGATCAAAGTTTAGATGCACATCTGAAAACTTGAGCAAACATGAAAATTAAGCAATCAAACAAGGCCTATACGAGGTAGGGCTTCAGATGCAACCAATATGGACCTAGATCATGCTCTAGAATGAGAGAAAAATGAAGGAGAAACTTACTGAACGGAGACACTCCGTTGGTGCTTCAACTGCGTGCTAGCTTGCTTCAAATCGTCCAGATCCACTCCAATTTGCTCAAGGAAGAAGAATCACACCTCAATTGGCTTTGATTTGCAGTGAAATTGAAAACACGATTTGAAATTTTCTTGGAGAATTTGAAAATGGAAGTTGCTCTCTCTTGCTCTAAAATGTGCTTCTGAGCTCTCCAAATGAATTCTAAACTTATATATGTTGGATTTGAAATGAAATGGAAGGCCTATGAAGCCTTGTTGTGATGAATTTGGAAAAATGCCCAATATCTAATTCTTTCATGCACACGTGAAAATGACTCCTTACCCACATGAAAGTCAATCAAAACATCAGTTGGCTAGCTGAATTTCACAATGGAATTGAATTGGGCTCTTGATTTGGTCCAATTAGCAAGCTTGGAATGAAAACTTCTTTGTGAAGAAAACTTGAAATGCATGTGTTTTTTGCCTCTTGAACCAAAATGAAAATGTGCATTATTTCCTTGAGTGTTTTGTGAACAAATTTGAATCAAAATGAGGCATGGAAAAGACCTATAATGAGCTCAATTGAAATCACACTTAAAAGTCCATTTTCCACTTGAATTTTCACCCACATGTCCATAACCAAACATAATCCACCCAAACCTTCAGTTTCATGATGTAAAAGAGGTAACTTGGAGCAACTTTCATGTTGGTTGAAGTTTCATTTGAAGTACATAAGCGCATGAAAATGACCCATAACGAAAGTGGCCTATAATCAAAGTTTCCCAAAATACCCTTGCCTCGTAAGATCCATAACTTGAGTTTTATAAATGATATCAAGGACTTATATGACTTTTTGAAAAGCTAAGATCATAAGGAAAAACTTTCATGTTCACTAAAAGTTGATGAGAAACCTGATTCTAGGTCAAAAGTGTCTTGGAAGTGAGTTGACTTTTGTTGACCAAAAAATATGTTCATCTGAGACCTATAACTTGTTGGCATCATAACTTGAGTTCCACAAACCCAATGGATGAGTTCTAGTACTCAAAAGAAATCTAAGAACATTCCCTATAAGTTTCATGTTCACAAGAGAATGGGGTTGAACGTGTATCATGAGGTAACTTGTCCTTGAAGTTAGGAACTAAAGAAAGGGGATTTTACACTGAGATCCTCTGAAACCCTAATTTAGTAACCTCTTGAACTCTTGATTCTTCTTGATTTGAACTTGAAATGACATCCTAGATGTCTCAACATAACCTCCCATGACTTCAATGACTTTTAACTAAGTCTCAAGCTCCCTCAAGTCCACAGTTGACCTTGAGTTGACCAGATGAAACCCTAGGTGCACAACCCTTGACTGTGACCTCTTGCAGGTGAAATAAATGTTTAGATGAGCTCCACAATGGCTTCCAAAGTACCTCATGAGCTTATCAAACATCTCCTATCCATTACCATGACCTTGTGAGCCCCTGATGATCTCCTGTTGACCCCCAAGATAGGAGATAAGTAACATACATCCATCTTCTCTTTCAAAAACCTTTGGCCATTTTCCGATGGTTGTAATCACTTGATAGCTTGAAGAAGCAATCTTGATTGAGCTTGAAACACTTGAAACACTTCTCTTGAATGGCATACCTCTCTTGATCCCCTGTAAAGGATAATGCTATGCAAATGCAAATGCTAAAATGAAAAGAAACATAAGCCAAGCAAAGAAAAAGGTTAGTCAAATTTTGGGGTACAACACTAATAAGCACCCTTTTTATGCTTTAAAGATATACATGTGTGTACCTAGAGAAATTGTCAACAAAGGTTATGAAATATCGGTTTCCCCCACGGGTTAGTATCCCATTAAATTCACACAAATCAGAGTGCATAAGATCGAACAAATTTGATATTCTTTCAACACTTTTGAAAGGTTTCTTAATCATTTTTTATTTGACACATATTTCACAATTTTCAAAATCATGAATATTGCATGAGATCAAACCAGATTTAACTAGCCTATTCATAGTACTAATACCAATATGTACTAATCCAAAATGCCATAAAGAAAAAGATTCAAGCATTTAAGCTGAATTCGAAATTTCATTAATAATATTATCGATAGTAGAAAGTTTGATCATTTCCTCAGCGGAATATCCTTTTCCTACAAATACACCATTACAGGTCACTATAGTTTGTCTGATTCATATACAGACTTAATACATGGTTTTCCCAATAAGTCCCCACTAATAAAGTTCCTATTCATGTTGGGGACATGGAGTACATTGACAAAAGTGACTTTCTTTCCAAAAGTGAAATTTAGTTCTACAAATCTCATTCCAATGAATCTAGATCGTACTTTATTTTCCATCTACACTTCTTGTCCATCATTTACTTTATAATAGGTTTTAAATATTTCTTTTTCATAAGAAACATGCAAGGCAACACATGTATCATACCATTATCCTTGCACTTTGCCTTTTATTTCCATAATCTCTCTCACCGTATCAATTATTTAGCTATTTGCATGAACAATATTAACTTCATTTTTGGACTTGTTATGCCTACAATCTCGAGCAAAATGGTATGGTTTGTCGCACACATAGAAGCCACTTTTTGGTTCTTTGGGTCCCTAGAGTTCTTTAACTTGTTATGTTCCTTCTTATGGCCAAGATGGTTCTTCATGCCATCATATTTCCTCTTTCCTTTTGTAATAACAACATTGGCTTTTGAGTATGCAGCGGACTCTGACTTTTCTCTATCCTTCGTCTCCTCATCGACTCTAAGGTGTTTATGAAGTTTATCCAATAAGAAATCCTTAGAACTATGCAACAATTTCTTCTTGTATTCTTTCCACGAGGGTGAAAAATTTTGCAATGATTACACCAACTTGGAAAGGTTCTAAAATGTTTATTTTACAGCTTTTATTTTATTCACGAGAACATGTAACTCGTTTACTTATGCAAGAATCGGCTTGGAGTCTAACATTTTAAAATAAAAGTATTTAGATATTAAGAACTTTTTCGTACTTTACTCTTCAACCTTGAATTTGAATTCGAGTGCTTTCCAGATCTCTGTTGCAGATTGGGTATCAGTGTATAGATCATAGAGACGATTGGATAATGCATTCAGAATATGTTCGGGACATAGCAATTCATCTTCCTTTCGCTTCTTTCGTTCTTTCTTAACTTCATCGGCGAATATTTGTTGGTTCTAGAATTGGTGTCAAATTAGGATCTAAGACATAGTGAATCTTCAAGGGATTCAATGGAAACATCATATTGTCTTGCCAACAGGTGAAGTTTGTTCCATCAAAATGATCCAACTTGAAAAGGTCCTGGTTCATCACTTTGATGCTTGAAACTAAAGTGTTAGTGGTCATGATTAGAGATACTATAAGACTATTAGAAAAAATTTCTACAATGAATGGATTCAAGTTGGAATTGTGAACGAATCACTTTTCCTATGATATTTTAAGCACTCTCGAATGTCTTGGAGTTTCTATACATGAATACCTAGAATAATTCAGTTTATACTCGAGTTTGCACAAAACGGATAAAAACTCGAATGTAGGAAAAACAATTTGAATTTTTTTTGAGAGGATATGAATTTTTGTGATGTGATTTTTGAATTCAAAATGACTTACTTATATGCCACGTTTGTGTTGTTTCACAAGGTTTCGACCCTTGATGAAACAACATTTTTTCAGTAACACTTTTACCAATAGTTGTATATTTTCATTCTAAGTGTTGCACGAAGTGTTTTATATTTTCTAATTCAAAATTCAAACTCAAGTGCCGCCTACAAACCACGTCTATGCCCTTGGATCCAGTCCTAGAGTCAGAGTCGGTGTCGAGGAGACAAATGACATAATGTTTGGAACCACCACACTTGTCCATGTGACACTTTACCCTCTTTTGTCTTTTTATTAAGTTAATAAATATGATTTTTTATAAAAAAAATTTAATGTGAGTGTCAGCTATTTCTCAAATATTTATGGACATTTATTTACTTCCATTGTCATTTTAGAACATTAGCATGAGCATTTATTATTCTTAAAATTCAACAATGGATATCACAAGCTAATTTTAGCTCATTAATATCTTCAAAATGGTCCATCAACGTGTCCGTAAAAATAAAGCACGAGCAACACTTGTAGTATCATGACATTATTGTAAAAAAAAAATGTCGAAAGAATATATATGCTATTATTCATTTATTTATTATATTAGTCTTTAAAACTATATTTTTTATTTTAGTAAAACAAAACAAAAATTAAATTTGATCGTGATATCTTCAATTTAATTTTCATATTGAATTCTAACATGAGATGACCAAACTCTGCCACTAAACTTATAAAACAATGTCTCACATCCCTTCATTTATTTATTATTTTTGTTGTACTTATGTATGAACTCGCACTATCTTAATAAAAATACTATTTCATTAAAATTTTAGATTTACAACAAAAAGTATAATTAATTAACTTCAAGAACTCCAAAATAACAATAGTAAATTTAATTGAATGAAGGTGGGTTTATTTTTCTTTAAAGAAATAATAAAATACATTTCAAATAATATGGTCACATTTCATGTAACAACATTTTCTTTTATGATTTCTGGCTTTGCAACTAAGCAAAGTTTCAACTTCTTGTGAGAAACCATCTGTACCATCTAGCAGATTGTTTTGGCACACGTTTCAGATTATCAGCAAAATCAATATATATGAGCCCCCATTTATCAGAAAACCCTTGATGAAATTCAAATGTATCAAATGCAGACCACACAAAGAATCCTTTAACATTCACTCCGTCACTGTAAAAATATAAAACATGTAAATTAATTTTCGTCTTTGAACTCATAAAATATAATGCATGCATGCATGATATATATAGTAAAAGAAATAATAATAATAATCACTTACTCAAGTGCTTTTTTCATATAATTTATATGTGATGCAATATAATCCATGCGATGCTTGTCTTTCAATGCCTGTGTAATGTTTCCTGAAGCAATACCTACAATAAATAGAATTTCAAAAAAAAAAATTATTAGATTGGTCAATTTAACTTAATTAATTGAAAAGAAAGATGATTAATATGCACTAACCATTTTCAGTAATGTAAATCTTAGGGTTTTTATATGTTTGCTTCAAGTATACCAAAACATTATATAATCCTTGTGGATTTACAGAGCTCATAGTTGCATTATCCTACAAATTTAGAAATATTACTTATAAAAAATATTAAAACAAAGTAAATAATAATTTGTATAAGACTTTCTTAAATTAATTATCTCACCAGGGTACCCAATCTTATTCTCTCATCATTAAATACTGTTGATCTGACCTGATCAGGAGGGATCACGGACTGGCCACACTTCGCTGGACGGTTATCTGTTCGCCGGGGTAAGAACGAGGAGGGGGGTGTACCTGCAAAGCACTCCGACGCCCAAGTAAGAAGTTGGACAGAGAGGAAGCAATAGTACAGAAAGGGGGCAAGAAGAGTTACCTGACCCTCTTGAAGAAGAGGGTATTTATAGAGAGACCCCAGCGCTGGGCCAACGGTCATTCGAGGTGGGCCAGACGACCAGGCCCAACCCTAATGACTGTTAGGGCTTACGTGGCGTAGTGAAGACCAGGACGTGGTCTTCGCCCTAGTTCAACCGCTCCTAGGTCTCCGGAAAGTGGGTTTGACCTGCTCTTTCGGAGGTGGGCGGTTGGCCGATGACGTGTCCCCGCGGAGGGGAGCACGTGGAGAGCGTGCGCCGAGCACATTATTCTCCCCGCGGAGGGAGCCCGGGTAGTCTTGCTCGTCCGGCGTGACGGACGACAAAAGGGATGCGGTGCGGTAGCTTGTGCCCGGCGGACGGTCCTGCTCGTCCGAAGGGGCGCGTGTCAGGTGTGCCCAGTTCGCCTGTTGGGCCGTATTTGGTATTGGGCCTGCCGAGGTGAGGCCCATACCGGAACAGGAGCCCCCCAAGTCGAAGCTCTGGGGAAGAGCGAGGACTTAAGGTCGTCATGTCTGGAGTGGGGACCCGTACGAAGGGCTCCGGTCGTCGGTAGAACGGGGAGGAGGCAGATGAAGGGACGCGACTGTCAGGTTGCCTCCACGTGTCTCACGTTAAGCGGTCGTAGGGGCGGCTAACCTATGTCATTAATGAGCCTAGGGTCGCTTCGAGTCTCGCGCCGGGTTATAAATATGGCGGTCCCCGCTCATTCTGTTACTTTTCTCCCTGCTAATCTTTCATCGTCTCTGCTCGTCCGCCGCTCGCCGCCGATCAACGCCGTGCCATTCGCTTTTTTTTCTTCCGTCCGCCGCCGTTACAAGTGAGTTCCTATTTTCCCTCTCTTTTATTTCAGTCGTCTAACTGGGACGTGTGGTCGGGGCGCGATGAACGCCCCGAGGAGGGATGCGAGTTCCGCCGCGTCTGGCGAGTTTTCCGATGAATGTCCCGGGGACGGTAGGCTAGTTCCGATGAATGCCCCGAGGACAGGAGCTTTTTCTGATGAATGCCCCGAGGATGGGGGCTTTTTTCCGATGAATGCCCCGAGGACGGGGGCTTTTCTCCGATGAATGCTTCGTGGAGAAGTACCTTCTCCGACGGCCGTCCCGAAGGGGGTGGGTTCGTTCTTCGACCCCCGAGGAGGGTAGACGGGGAGTGAATGGCCGCTCGTCGCTCCTCGGCCTTTGTCGCCCTTTCACTTGACTTGCGGTGGAAGGGTGGATTTGATCCTGGCTATCGAATTCACCGATGTCCTCTGCTTTCAGGTGTAGATGTCGGCTCTGGTGCCGGGGATAATGGTCGAAGATACTGAACCCGAGGTCCCGGAGTATGACGACGAGCGTATCGCCCCGCCCGAGGAGTGGGCGGCCGAGGAGCCACTTTCCATCCCCTCTTGTTTTGTGGTCGATCCGTCCGACGTGTATGCCACGGTCGAGGACACGCCGCTAGGAGAGACGCAACACTGGCAGGTGTATCGCCCGAAAGAGCACCACCGGATCTGTTCGCGCTATGGGCGGAAGATGTTTCCGATGTACGAATTTTATTTTAAAGAAGCTCGGCTCCGGTTACCGTTTTCCGCCTTCCATCTGGGGCTTTTTGACTGGCTGCGTCTTGCTCCGTCTCAGCTGCATCCAAACGCTTTGGCTTTCATCCGGGCTTTCGAGGTGGTGTGTTTCTACCTCTCGGTGGAGCCGACGGTGCCGTTATTCTTCCGCATCTTTCATTTGCAGCGGCAGACGGTGCGAGGTCGTCACGGATGGGTCTCTTTCAAACAATCGACCAAAATTTTCAAAGCGTATAGCGATTCTGTCAAAGACTTCAAGGGTCGGTTCTACCTCGTCAAACCGATCACGCTGCACGGCTCGGACACTCTCTTTGACGAGGGCGAGCGCACGGTAGATGGCCAGCGGTTCCGCGCGTGGCTTCCCAAGATACATCTACTGTGGACCTCGGAGCATTTCAGCCGAGGGACGGATAGGTATATCGTCCGGGCGGGAACCCTCGAGGAGAAGGACATGGCCGCTTATTTGAAAATAATTGCTTTTGTGCGGTCACTCCCTCCGTCGAAGCTGGTGACGCCCGATGGTCGGTACATCCTTGACGCCCTGGGGAACATACGCACCAAGAAGCGTTTGATAAATACCAAGACTTTGCTCGGCTGCGCGACCGGGGCGGCCGCTCTGGATTATCTAGGTAGGGATGTTCGTTTTCCCTCGTGGTCGGGGTTTTTGGTCGTCACTAACCTATTTCTTTGTTTTTGCAACGAATATGTCTACTGTCGATGAGCGGGTGAAGCAGTTGCGCGCTGCCAGGAATGCCGTGGCCCCGAGGACGAGGGTGAGTCAGCTGGTCAGTCAGGAGGTCGCGACGCAGGGGGGTCAAACTTCGTCCTCGTCGCCTCAAGAGAGCCAATCCCCTGTGTCCCAAGGAGTGTCGAAGAGGCAGAGGTCCGAGGAGCCTCGGGTGGTGGATCTGACGGTCGGCGCCGTCGAGGAAGGTTATGTCGTCCCTCCCTGCCACCAGCACCCGGGATATTTTCATGGTGCCCGTTCCCCCACTGTTTCTGCCGGGGAGGTGAAAGCTGTTCGCCAGGCTGATCGGGAGGCCCGTCGACGTGTCCTGGCTGAGGACTTGGCCGCGATGATGCGGACGTTTACGACGGCTCTTGTGCTGAACGAGGAGGGCTGCTCCGCCGCTGAGCTGTCCAAACTGCAAGGGGATCTCACTTTCACGCAGTCGCGGTTGGCCAAGCTCACTGAGGAGTTGGAGAAGAGCCAGAAGGAAGCTGCCGAGGAGCGGAAACGGGCAGAGGGTGCTGAGGGGAAGGTGAGCTCGCTGGAGGAAAAGCTGGGGATAGCGACGGCCGAGGTGCAGGCGCTGAAGGTTCGTACGGAGGTTTTGGACAGCGCTGTTCGTCCGGCCGAGGACGAGACTGAGGGGGATCGGCGTTTAATCACCCGTGCTGACTTGATCGCCCGTATCCGGGTGTTGGAGAGCGATTGTCTGGAAGCCGTTGAGGTCGGGTTCAAGAATGCGGTCGAGCAGATTCAGGTTGCCAACCCTGGTGTCGAGCTGGTCGTGGACGGGATAGGGCCGTACCACGAGATCGTTGATGGGAGGGTGATCGATCCTTATCTTGTTATCCCTGAGGAAGAAACCGTGGCTGCTGACCGAGCGGATGAGGAAGCATAGGTTGCCGGGCCTGCGTGCTCGTTGTTTTTGTGGCCTGCGTGCCAGTGTTTATCTTTTGCTTTGGGCCTGCGTGCTCGTTCTTGTACTATTGACTACTGGGCTGGTGCCCGCTTTTGTTAAATATATTTGTCATGGTTTTTCTAAGTGTGCGCTCGTTATTTGCATGTTGTTTTATGCTCGTTTTTCGTATTTGTTCGAATGCCTTTGATGTGTATGACATTTCCTGTAGATTTTCTAAGTGTGCGCTCGGTGTGTTTAGCTCGACAGTTTGTTACCGGTAGTGTAGGGGACTGGCCGGTTTGGCCGGGGATGTAGCCGGGCCGTTTCGGGGGTAGTTTTCCCCGGGGCGTGGACGGCCCATCGCGAGCTGGGTGTCCTGCCTGTTTTGGTACGGCGGCGAGGAGCCTCGGTCGAGGTATTTCCTGCCGAGCAAGGCCTTCTGCCCGCGCACACGAGAGGCAGGGCTTGCTTTTCTTTGGTCGCTGGTGGACGCGGGGGTGTGCGGTGGTACCATGTCGCCCCCCCCAGTGGTCGGGACGATGGGTCGTCGCGGGCAATGTGTTAACTGTAGTACCGCTTAAGCTTCGCGGCGTTCCATGGTCGAGCTAATTGTTCACCGTGCAGGTTTTCGAGGTAATAGGCCCCGTGCTCCGTTTTGTTCCGGACTCGGTACGGGCCTTCCCAGTTCGCAGCCAGTTTGCCCTCGTGGGAGTCTTTCTGGTTTCTGTGTAGAACTAAGTCGCCTGTTTGAAAATCGCGTTTTATGACTTTGTTGTTATGGCGAAGTGTGACTTGTTGCTTCAGCCGGGCTTCCCGGAGAGCTGCTCCTGCGCGGATTTCTTCGACGAGGTCGAGCTCTTCTCGGAGGGAGCCATCGTTGTCGTCGGTGTCCAGGGGAGCTTCCGTTCGTCTGGATGGTTCGCGGATTTCGACCGGTATCACGGCCTCGGTTCCGTACGTGAGGCGAAATGGGGTCTCCCCCGTGGTTGAGTGAGGGGTAGTACGGTATGCCCAGAGGACGCTGTGGAGTTCTTCGACCCATGCTCGTTTGGCGTCTCCGAGGCGTCGTCTGAGTCCTCTGAGTATAACTCTGTTCGCCGACTCCGCCTGGCCGTTCGTCTGAGGATGTTCGACCGAGGCGAAGTGATGTTTGGTCCCGAGGTTGGTAATGAAGTCGCGGAAGTTTTTGTCTGTAAATTGTGTGCCGTTGTCGGTGACGATGGCGAGCGGTACCCCGAATCTGGCGAGGATGTTGCGTTTGTAGAATCGGAGTATGTTGTGGGCGGTGATTTTGGCCAGAGCTTCAGCCTCGATCCACTTGGTGAAGTAGTCGACTCCCACGATGAGGTACTTGTTCTGGTATGAACCGAGGGGGAAGGGTCCGAGGATGTCCAGCCCCCACCAGGCGAACGGCCACGGAGATGAGAGGGACGTGAGGTCGGTTGGGGGGGCGAGGTGCATGTCTCCGTGTCGTTGACATTTATCGCACCGTTTGACATGTTC